AGCTGCTCCCTAAGGTGTGTTTTGCCCTTGGTGCTGATAATGCTTGAAAAGAGGAAGATGATGAAAGGGGTGATTTTGGCTGGCAGTTGTCATCGTCACGGGCACCGAGCGCTGGCTTTGGGAGCTGCTGGCTCATCGCAGCGGGGCTGAGATGGGCCATAACAGCAGGAGGGGGAGAAAAAGGCTCCAGGTCAGCGGGTATCACCAAAAGCACCACCCCGATTTTGAGGTGGTGGGGATGTGGGCAAGCTGAGCTCCCTGTACCCCGGCGAGCCTTCTCGGAGAGATGAGCACCTTCTTCATGACAAGTCGGCTGTTGTCTGCGTCTTTCCTTCTGAAAAAAAAAAAAAAAATCCTTGGTTTGGTTGGAAATGGTCTGGAAGGGGATTTTAATGGCCAAGTGATTTAGGTTTCCATCCCAGCCTGCACCTCCGGAGAGCAGGGTTCAAAGATCAGCTCTAAGTCACGCTCAGGAAGATTTCCAGCCTGAATTCAGGCAGTCCTTTTATGTACCATGATCTGAGATGCTTTTTCTACTCCATCAAGCATCTTTCTTGTATTTTTAAGCCCAGAAAGGCCCTGTTCCCTGCAGATTTAGCTTCTGCACAAGCTATTAGAAGAGGGGGACCACACGCACAGGCTTTGTCATCCCACCCCCACGCCCTGCTTGCAGCACCGAGAGCATCCCAAGAGCCGGTGGTTGAATTTGGCTGGTTTTCTTGCTTTTCTCCTAAAGATATACCTGCCAAGTTGTATGGCAGAAGGACGTGGTGACTCAGAGCGGGGTGGGAGGATTTGGGCAACTTTGCCTTGCCTGACACCCCAAAATATATACAGCAAGCTGCTGGGGAGCGGAGTTTTTCCATGTAGGATGAATTACAGACTAGATCTGCTGATGGAGAAGCACCATATAATGGGTAGATATTGCTCCAGAAAGGGTGCAAAAGATGTATCACCAGCAGGAATAAGGCTGGGTGATAACACTGCTGGTTCAGCTTCCAGACAGACCATCATTCATGGAGAAAAACCTCCAGCGCTTCATCTCTGCTCGGACCATCTTCCCCTTGCAACTTGATAATGAGATATTTTCCATAAGTGCTGGCCGAGACGGCTCTTTTTAAGCTGTATTTGCATCTTGTTGTGTTATTATGGCTTTTTTTTTTTTTTTTTTTTTTTAAAGGAAGTTTTTTTAAACGAGTGGTTTGTTACGGCTCTTTTTAAGCTGTATTTGCATCTTGTTGTGTTATTATGGCTTTTTTTTTTTTTGCTTCTCTAAGGAAGTTCTTTGCAAGCAGTTGATGTATGCAAACTGGCTGGAGATAGTTGGGTTTCCTCCTGACGGAGAGCGAATTTACGCTGCTGTAATTATAGCAGCGGCGTGGGAGCGCAGGCAAGCCCGGTTTCCCAATTAAACCCTTCTGCTCCTAGAAATCTGTCTTTAATATATTTTTTTTTTTTTTAGAGTGGGAAACCACTCTAAAAAGTTTCCTAACTTCATGGTAGGCAATGATTTGGAGGGGGCAGGATTTGGGCACTTGGATGTTAGGGATGCTCGTGCCTCTGGGTTTGTTTGCATGGACCACCCTCCTCTGCCTCCTCATCTGCGAAAAGCTTCCCGCCGCGAGAAAAAAACCCGACTCTTTAAAATTGAAAGGGCTTATTTAAACAATGTTATCTCTCTGGTGAAGGGAGAGAGCATATTGAATGGTTATATTTAGTGCCGGGTGTAGGACAAAGCAGATGCAGAGAGATTTTTAACGCGAGAATGTTAATAGCTTATGCCACGCTGCCTCGGAGATGTGTGTATATATATATATTTTTATATATATGCAACATGCATGTGCTCAGACACCTTTGTACTCGCTGAGGATGAGTATGGGATCCCTCCTTGATTTGCTTTTTGACCTTTTTCCACCCCGGCAAGCCCGTCCCAGCAGGGCGAAGCGATGCGGTTCTGGGAGCTGGGGATCCCCCAAAACGCGCAGCTGGAGGGATGCGCTTTGGCTCTATGGGGGTGTGCACAGCACCGCCGTCTTTCTGCCCCCCAAAATGGGACGGGGATGGGAAGGAGAGCACTTACGGGCTTATAAATGGGCTGTTTAACAACCCCAGCAGTGCTTCCCCCCCCTCCCCGGCAAGCTGCGAGGAAAGCCTACCGCATTACCCAGCCTCTATTACCCACCCTCATGGGAGCACTGAATTAAAGGAAATATTTTATGATCCTACGCTTCGTTATGTTTTATTAAAAGCAGAGCATCGGCCTCCCCTGCCACATTCATCAGATCAGATCAAAGGCTCTGTTGTTTTTTTTTTTTCCCCTGCTCCCTCCCAGGCTCTTGCCGCCGTCGCTGTTGTTCCCAAAGCATCCGACTGCTTGGGTTGGCTGTAGGGCCGGTCCAGGGTCTCCTGGCAGAGGAGGAAAATATGCAATGGGGCGAAAAATGTGGCTGATTGGTTTCTCTAAGGATGTTCCGTATCCAAACTGGCTTGGGGATCTGGAGTCATGCTGCAGAAATAGCCGGTGGATGCAGGAATAGGGATGGACGTGGGAAAGTGGAGTCATGGGGAGATGTCACCCCATGGAAGGGTTTGAGTCATGGATGGAGATGAGCACATCCGCATGAAAAGATGCTCAGAAAAGCCTCCCCCCCGTTTTTCAGCTTTGCTCCGTCTCAGGGTGATCAAGCCCGGGCTGGGAGGACCTCTGGGATATCACCATTTTGGGGGAAAAGACCCCCAAAAATGCCAACATCCCCTCTGCGGAGGTAAAGTAGCAAGCAGGGCTGGGAGTTTGCTATATCAGCCTTCAAAATCAGCGTCAAAAAGACAGACAAATATTGATAGCCAGGCGTATCTGGAAGCAGTTTGGAGACAGAAAGGTATTAATTAGCAGTTATTTCTCAACGGTGCAGAGATGGATAGGGATTAAGGTAACAGCCATGTGCATCCTCTCCGTGAGAGTGGAGGAGTAACGGTAAATCAGCGTTATGAATCGGTGCTGTAAGAGGGAGATATGTTTTAATCTTATTAGCGGCGCGGCATTACTGAGAGAGCAAAGGGATTATTAATCACAGAACGTAAATCGGGGAGAAGAGGGTCACTTCAAATTAACAATCCTGCTTTATAGAGTGAGCGCGGAGAGGGGTAGGGGAGATGGAAGAGAAAAGGCAGTGGATGGAGGCTGAGTCAGGGGAGAGGTACCAAGGGAAAGGGCAAAAAGCCCGTGCCGTGGGATGAGGGTGGGGTTGGGATGCGGCTGCCCCCCACCTCGGCCAAATCGGTGCCCGGGAGTGCGTCAAGGAGCGTCTCTGGGCCAGTGCCAAAGCCCAGAGCTGGAAATCCCTGTAGGTTGTGTCTGTTATAATATAGGATATGCAGGTATCTGTCCCATTAACCCATCCGTCCGTCCGTCCATCTGTCTGTCCCTTCCTCCCTCCCTCCCTTCATTCCTCCATCTCTCTGTTGCTCCCTCCCTCCCTCCCTCCCTTTTGTCATCCCTCCATCCCTCCCATCATCCCTCCCATCATCCCTCCATCCCTCTATTCTTCCATCTGTCCCTTCCTTCATCCCTCTATTCCTCCATCCCTTCATCCCTCTATCCCTCCCTCTATCCCTCTATTCCTCCATCCATCCCTTCCTTCATCCCTCTATTCTTCCATCCAACCTTTCTTTCATCCCTCCATCCCTCCCTCTGTCCCTCCTTCCATCCCTCTCTCCATCCTTCTGTCCCTCCCTCCATCCTTTCCCCCATATACAACCAGTAGAAGACACCGGCTGCCTCCGGAGCGCTCCCTGTGCGAGCACAGAGGGTTTTGCAGCAGTGGAGGAAAGGAGCAGGGTGGCTTTGGCTGCTTTTTAGCACCCAACTCAGCTAACGACGGTGCCGATCTGGCTGCCCCCCCAGGCTCCCCTGAGGTCATTTTTGGGGGTAAAAAGCCACGCATCACTCCCTAAATTGCAAAAAAAGTGGATTTCGTAGCACTCGGCACCTCTGGCTGGCAGCAGGCTTTATTTTCTCCCTTCCTCTGCCTGAGGTTGTGCCTTTGGAGAAGTTGTTAAGAAGGAAAATGAAAAAAAAAAAAATTAATAATAATATTACCTTTCCAGTTACATGGTGCAGGAATCGATGGTGCAGGCAGAGATCGCTCACCGCAGGCACCTGGGAAGGGAGGGGGAGAATCAATGGCTGCCTCGTTTGTCACCAATCAAAAATATGGGATAATTGGATTTCCTGCAAATAGAGAAATAAATGAGCAAATTCATCACCTGGGTCATGGTCACCTGGGCCACCTTGGCACGGCAAAACCCCGCCAGCACCTCGCTGGGACTCTTAACGTGGTGGGAAACCCAACAGCAGCATCTAAACCTAAATCCTCATACTCGTTCATCAGTGAAATTAATTATTTTTCCCCCTTCTGCCCACCCCAAGCCTGTGTATCTCCCGCTAAAGCCGGAAGAAGAGAAGGTTTGGGGAGGATTGTGGGGTTTCAGAGGGAAAATTCAAAACCGCGCTTATTTTTCCGAGGAATAGCATCTCTAATAACCCCTTGCTGTTACTCCTGGATGGGTTTTTTGCTGGATCTTGGATGGATTTGTTTGCTTTCCCCCTTGCAAGTGGGGAAACTGAGGCACAGAGCGGGACTCGCTCCAAAAGGCATCCTTCAAGCAGCTCCCTGCCGCTTCCAGCTCTGCTAATTAGCCCTGGCTGGGATTGTGCTCCAGCCTAGATTAACGCCATGAGCCGTGGTTTCAAATAATTAACTCCCAGTGTCGTAATCCTCACCCCGATGGAGGGCAAAGCAGCGGCAAAACCCTTGGCTGCTGCCGGCAGGTCCTTCTCCAGTTCACCCAAGCAGCGGATCGGGCTCTGCCAAGGGCTCGGCGTCTTTTTTCCCAGGTTTCAACATCTGTATCTAATCCATCAGCTTTGGTTTGGGGCTCTAACAAACCAGGCTGGGTACAAATAATTTGCTTTTTTACTCCTGAATTGCATCTCCGAGATGGTTTTTGCTGGGCGGCGCTTTCGGCGCTGGCTGGAGACGAGACCCTTGATCCCAGGTGAGGTTTGCCATAATCCCCCGTGCTGAGGGGCAGCATCCAGGCGTTGCAGCTTCCTGATGCCAACACGGGGAGAGATGCCAGAAGGGACCCGGCTGATGGGGAACAGGACGGATGATACGGAGGATTCCCCATCCTCTCTCCGCCTGGCCGAACACAGTGACTTAAGGGATAGGGGTCAATGGTGACAAGTTCCCGCCCGACGCAGCAGGCGCATCTCCTCCGTGACTACCCCACCTTCCCAGGTGCCCTCGTATGATAGGTACGAGGCTCTGCAAGTGGAACCGAACAATGAGGAGGACAATGGTTCATCTGGCTTGGAGGTGTCACCAAGGTTAAGTCGGCCTACGCCCTGCGTCAAAACCGCTTCCATAAAGAAAAGAAGACGGGTCATTGTCGTAGGAGAGTCCCTTCTGAAGGGAACAGAAGGCCCAATCTGCAGATCGGACCCACTTCTTAGGGAAGTCTGCTGCCTCCCTGGGGGCCGGGTTAAAGATGTGAAGAGAAAGCTTCCTACCCTGGGACGGCCCTCGGATTACTATCCATTATTGATTTTTTAGGTAGGCAGCGATGAAGTTGCAATAAGAAGTCCGAGGGGAATCAAGAGAGACTTCAGGGCCTTGGGACGACTGGTTAAGGGATCAGGAGCACAAATAGTGTTCTCTATCCTTCCAGTTGCAGGGAACGATGAGGGAAGAAACAGGAAGAGCCAGCAGATCAATAC